CTTACCAGTTTGAAATTTGAAGTTTGTGTTGGTGGATGATTTGGTGTGTATTGATATTTTATTATAATATTTTTTGCACTTTATTCTTTATTGATGTATTTTATCATATTTTATATTTTTTTTCATCAATAAAATTTTTTTTTTTGCTGATAAAAAAAATACATTGCTCTTGGATGATGTAAATATATGTCAGACTGGAAAAATTATTAGTTGGTTTTGAGACATTACGTAGTCATATTCTATGTCAATTATGAATTTTTTTGTTGATTCATATTGTATAATCTCCCAATACAAAATGGTTAGTCTTACACCTTTCACTAATCACAATACTTGTAGAGCGTCACTTGATGCTATTCCTAAACCAATCAATAACCTCTCGTGAGCCTCAATAATGTAATGATATTGGTTGGCATAGTTACAGCATTTCTAACATTTTTTTTAAAAAAAAATTATCAGAAAAGCGAAGAAAAGAAGAAAATTTTACACTTTTTTACCATTTTTTTTAGTTAAATTAGAAAATCATTCAACAAAAAAATCAGCACCAACCAACTCTTTATATGGTTGTTCAAAAAGACTCTTTACATGACTCCTTATTTAAAGGGTACATTTGCTATTAGATATTTTTCTTAAAATTCAAGAACATGATTTTTTTATAGTAATTTTTCAATATTTTTATTAAAAAAATTCAAAAAATATTGATTATGAATAAAAATATTAATATTAATATTATAGCACCATAATTAACTTCATATAATTTTCTCATTCACAAAAATCAAATTCATAATTTGATTAAGTAATTTACATCACATGTACTACAACATAAATATAGACAAGTAATAAAATAATAATAATAATACAAGAAATAAAATAATAATAATAATAATAATAATAATAATAATAATAATAATAATAATAAGCATACTACATATTGGAGTAGCAATTAAGCCTATAAATTGTCATACCCAAGTACAAGAAGGTTTCAATCGTCAATGACTTAATTTGGAGAAAGAGAGAGAGAAAAATGACAGAGAGTTGGAGATAATCAAATACTTAGATTGAATTTGAGAGAGAGAGAGAGATTAGCTATGTATCTTAACTTAGTAAAAATCCTAAAGAAAGTGGGAGAAAGAGATTGGGTGTGAAACTATTTCGAAAAATGTTAGGGATTCTAAATATTTTATCCAATGTCTTATATGAGTATAAGACCTACACCATGTGATACATCTGATAAAATATTTGACAAAATATTTGAGATCCTTACCATTACTCAACTATTTTATTTGATTTTATTTTTTATAATTGAGCATATGGATCAACTTGCGTGCACCTCGCGACTAATCCTGGTGTCTTGAAGTGAATGACTAGGCAAACTTTTAGTGACCCATCAGAGTGACTTAAACTTGACAATTTAGATTTTATCAAGTGACATCTTAGTCTAGCTCGAATTTTAAATTATTAATTTTTTTAATTAATATCAAAGTAATTAATGCTGTGTTTGGTTGGGGGACTTGGGGAGGGATTTGGAAAGGAAAAGGGAAAAGGTGTGTGAAACTAGATGAAATGTAGGTACATTTTATTCACATTTCACCTAACTTTTCCCTTTCCCTTTCCAAATCCCTCCTCAAATCTTCCAACCAAACACAGCGTAAAGAAAAACATTGTTCGCATTTTACTTTTTGAGGAGTCAACTCTCAAATTGCACATTTATAGTTCATGCTTATAATTTATTTTAATTTAGAATTCTATGCAAACTATATAGTATAGTTTCTACCTACAATTTATTAGATAGAAATAACTTAAATAAGTTAAAAAAATTAAATATCTAAAAATTGAAAGAGAGCTACTTTTAATTTGTAATTTCTGATTATCAAATTTTAATTTACAATCAACTAAACAAAACTCGATCAATTCTTTTTTTATTTTTTATTTTTTTTAATTTCATTCTACAACCTTTGTATTAGCATGTTTTGCTCATGTGCTAAAACCGTGCTCTGTACTATTGTCCACACAAATTTAGCTTGATATCATTATTTTTTTTTATTTTTTTGTTGGTTGGCACAAGAGAATTGGTAAGAAATTTAAAGTAAAATAAATGTCCTTACTTTAGGAGGCCTATATAGGCTATAGCTTTTGAATGGGAGTCATCAAGTTAGGCATGTGATGGACTTTTCATAGAATCCGATCATCACTAAATATCATCATTATACTGATTTTTTACTCTTAAATTCTCTATCACACTGTCTTACAATAATTTTATTATATTTCTAGCACAATAACACATAAAATACATAGTTTGATTAAAAGTGTCCTAAGACCATCTCCAACGGTGAACCAAACCCAGCATCAGATTTAAATTTTGATGAAAAACTCACTTTTTCACGCTCCAACGGTTGCACCGAGTGGATATGGGGCTCAGAAGGTATATAAGCATGTCTGCGCCCCCCATACGCGACAGACGAACACTCTGTAAGGAATTTCTTACACTCAAACACTCTCTCCCTTCTCTCTATTCCCCCTAAGGTGTGTGCTAACTTGACCGTCGGAGGGTTTTTCCGGCCACACACCGCCGGGTAGCTCATCGTTATTTGCTCGCAGGTGATCGGATATCGACGGAGCTCGGAAGAAAGGAATACGGGCACGCCGGAATATTTGCTCCCCGTACAGGAGTCATCAAGTTAGGCATGTGATGGACTTTTCATAGAATCCGATCATCACTACCAAATATAAATATCATCATTATACTGATTTTTTACTCTTAAATTCTCTATCACACTGTCTTATAATAATTTTATTATATTTCTATCACAATAACACATGAAATACATAGTTTGATTAAAAGTATCCTAAAACAAAGTAATTCTAATTTCACTTTAAACATTAACCGTTAAATTATCACAATAAAATTAGGGTAAATTACACTCGTCTTCTTTGAAATTTTAAAAAAATACTATTAATTTTATACATTTGATATAATTACACTAACTTTCATTTTAGTAAGGTAAAAGTAATCGAAACTAATGTAGATGATGCGTAGGCACTGAAATAAACAAAAATAAATTTATATTTTAATAAAAAAAATGACAACATCATTTTTCCATTTGTATGACTAACGAATTATTAATAAAAAAATATTTAATTGTTATGTAAATTAAAATTTAAAAAAAAACAATATAATTATATCAAAAATATATAATTAATTATATTTTTCTCAAAATTTCAAAAGAAATTAATATAATTTCCTCATAAAAATTATTACAGAGAAATTATTGCATTACAAAAAATCTAAGCCTCTCATAAAAAAAAGCCGGATGTTGGTAAGATGAGGTAAGATGTCAAAGCTAAACCAAAATGGTTCGAGATTCTCATTACTATTATTATTATAACCAAACTTTGATTTAACAAGACTTTTTCTTTGACGAAGCACACAATTAATTCCATCAAGAATGCCATTGACATTTTCCACATTCTTAAAAAATAAAATAAAATAAAAAATAAAATAAAAAGAATGTCATTGACAGATATCTATCAATATCATACTTTTGGTGATGGCACATTTTAGGTACTAACTAAAATGACACCAAATAAATCATTTTTCATGATCCAAACGTCTACTCCATGCTTGCATTTCAAACGACAATAATGCTTTTCTCCTGCCCTAGTGTAGGTTTTCATTTTTTATTTTTTAATATGTTATTTTAATGAAGAATTATATGATACACTCTTAAAAGATGTATGTCATATACACTTTAGTTACTATTTTTATGATTTTTAATTATAATTTATTATGGTGTTAGTTATGACGTGGTTATGACCCCTATAATATTAGTTATGATTCATTGTGATGTTCATTATAACATTATTTTAATTATACCTCATATGAGTTATGACTGAATGAGGATTTAGTTATGATATTTGTAGCAAACAATACCACAAATTAATTAATTTGCATATAGCATGACCCTATTTTAACATATTATAAATATATTTTATATAATTTATTATAATTATTTTATAAGTCCCACTAACAATGGTCATAAAAACTGTCATTAAGGCCTCGTTTGAGAATATGTTTTTTTAGTAATTTTTTTATTTTTTGGCTAAAATATGATGTAAAAAAAATAGTATGTTTGGGATGACTTTTTAATTTTTTACGAAAAGATATGCAAAAAATAGAGAGAAAAAAGAATTTTTTATTTGTAGCAAACAATACCACAAATTAATTAATTTGCATATAGCATGACCCCATTTTAACATATTATAAATATATTTTATATAATTTATTATAATTATTTTATAAGTCCCACTAACAATGGTCATAAAAACTGTCATTAAGGCCTCGTTTGAGAATATGTTGTTTTAGTAATTTTTTTATTTTTTGGCTAAAATATGATGTAAAAAAAAATAATATGTTTGGGATAACTTTTTAATTTTTTACGAAAAGATGTGCAAAAAATAGAGAGAAAAATGAATCTTTGACTTTCTAGTATAGATTGTTGATTTTTTGATTTTTTTTAGTGGTTTTTTAACTTTTAGGCTAAAAAGTTATGTTACCAAACGAGACGAAAGAAACAAATAAATTCAAAATAGTTATTATTCTAATACATTACGGGTACTACTTTGATAAATGTGGCTATAGTTATTGAATTGACTTGACTTTTTTAATCGATAATTTACATATTATGATTTAAAAAATGAATAGTTTAGACTATCTAAGTAGAACCCGTAGTGAATTTGACTGACCCCAAATAATAAAGTCTAATCTAGACAAGTTCAATTCTTTTTTAATAATATTTTATTCATCAAGTCATTATGCCTTCGAGGGACTTGTAGACCTATCATAAGTCATGTTTCAATAATTCAAACCGTTTATTTTGTACAACCCTCTATATATATTATTTATGAAAAAAATTAAGTTAATCTAATAATCATAACATTTTTATTTTAACGTGTTTATTTCCAAATTATCTGGTGTGAAACACTTGGTCACATTTTTAAAATTTTCTTAGAAGTTTTATAGTTTGAAAACTGAATCTAATTTTTGAATGACACTAAAGATTTCTATTCATCTTCTTTATTCATAAATTACAAATCTTAATATGCACATCGCGTGTGCACCACGTGTAAAAATAAAAACACGCAATCGAACAAATCAATCCCTGAAAGCTTTAATGGTGTGCCAAAATTCTATAGCCTTTGCTTCATGACTGGCGATTGGCAAAATTGTCTTCGCATGATCGTCCCTGAAAGCTTTATTGTTGTTCCATTGAGACATAAATTTCTCTACCTAAAAGTGAAAAAAAATTAAAAAATTAAAAAGTAAAAAAGCCTATAATTTAGAAATTAAATAATTGGTTAGAGAGTCAAGATCAATAAACAAGGAGGTTGAAATTTATTTCAACAAACCTGAGTATTAGACAATTCCTTAAGAGCTGCAACATCTTTATTTCTTCTCACTTCTTCTGCTTTCTTCAAGAGTGAGAGATATTGGTTGAAGTGTGCATTCTGTAAACACCAACAAGAAAGACCATTAGTTATTTTCATTTTATTTTCAAAATTTTAAATTAGGTTTAGAATTGATTAATTTTATTTTCTTCTTTTCAAAATTTTAATTGTGTATGTGTTTCTGATTCTTACTTTATTTATTTATTTAGAAATTTTCTAAATAAAATTGTAAAGGGTTTGAATGAAAACAAAATGAAAAGTTACCAGTGTGGATTAATTTTTTTTCTTAAATCATTATTAATGTACGAAGTGAAAATTTTAACAATAACTCTACAGTCACATAATCAATCACATAAAAATAATTCTAGCTAAGTAAGTCTCTCAGCTTCACTTATGTTTTATATTGTTGATTATGTTGTCTATTATGTGATAGTAGAAGTAGAAAGACTTATTGAAAACTTAAATGTAGGTCTCATAAATGTCATTATTGAATGAAATTAAAACTTACACAAAAAAAATGTCTCCTTTGTCACATATTTGAGATCAAGATTAGACCATCTAGTTCGATCCATTTGCTCATTTTTAGGTTCCGTTTTGATAATCCGAACCGTTCAATGTGTAGAACTCGTCGAGTACTATATCCCTACACAAAATTAGGTTGATCGGATATCAATAATTATTTGATTTGGATCAAATTTTTGTTAACCGTTTATTTTGTCATCGTCTATTTTTTTTATACAAATATGATCCGATCAAATAGCTATCAATATTCGATCAATGTAATTTTTTACAGAAATATAGTACTTGACAAGTTTTACACATTAAACGGTTTGGATTATCGAAACGAAACCCAAAAATAAACCCATGAATTGGACTGGGTAGTCCAATCTTGATCTCAAACATGAGACAAGCTGGACCACATAAAAAATATATAATAATTAAAAAAACCACACAAATCACATAATTTACGGACCACAATTGTAACTAGCCTTGTTTTCACAGAGGTACAAGTTTTTCCAAGAATACCCTTGATTCTGATGATGAATACTAATGATGTCAGCCATAGGAATCAGATTAACACACATTAAATACTTTAAGAATGAAATTGACATATTTAAAATATTAAAAATCAAAATATAACAAAATGCATTTTTTATTGATCAACAAAAGTATATAGATTGAAATAGTTACATATGCAACTCACTCAAAAGTGGGTAATAGAAGTTTGTCATACATTACGTACCATTTCATTCTTTCTAAGCTGAAGAATGAATTTGAATGCTGCATCTTGAATTCGAATTATATCTGCCAATTTTCTCTCCAAACAAACAATATATTTTTCTGCCACGTCTAGTTTTCTCTTAAGAAGCTTGACATAAGCCAAAAAAGCCAAATGTTCCTTCTGAAGTCCATCTATTTCATTGCGAATATGCTGAAATAAAAATGTGATCAAATATATGTTTGTCAGATCGAAAGACACTTCATGGATATACGTGTCATGTGTTTTGAACTCGTATCAAATTACCGTTATGAGTTTTTGTTTAAAAAAATAATTTTATGAAAACAATTTGGGAGCAAAATAAAATATATGAAAACAAATAAGGAAAAAAGTAAATGAAAATAGCAATAATTTCGTATACACAACAAATAAAAACATGTAAAGAATTATTTGTTTTGCAACATCCCTATTGTGTTCGTATCTTCTTTTCTTTTTTTTTTCTTTTTTCAAAATTAACGTGTATATAGTTTTGTATAGACATAAGATGTCCGTACTTTTTAGGTGAGATACAACATCTTATATGTATGGCCAGAATATCTTACTTGTATATAGTTTTGTATATCTTCTTTGGAACCTAAATAATATGGAATCTGTGGCTTCAAAGCATCATCTTCAATTGCTGCTTCCATCTGCTTTATATCTCTTAGGATCTTCTTCTCCTCTGCTAAACTCTTGCTCCCATGTTGCATCATAGAATGAAACCTCTTCTCTTTCTAAAAAATCACCAACAAAATTTTATTTTGGCCTCGTTTGGAAAAATAAGTTGAGATTAATTTAGCCCATTAAAAGATAAAATAGGTTAAAAAATTAATAAGACAAAATATCACATTTAAATCATAATCATTTTATTTTTTTCTCACAAAATTACAAAAAAAAACAAAAAAATTCTTCCCAACGAAGGTTGATTCACCAACAAATTATTTTTTAACTAAAATAATAATAATAAAAACATGCTTAGTTTGTTTTGGCATTTTCTATCATTTGGTGTGATAAAAAAATGAAAATTAGTAGAAAATAGATTTATTAATATTTTTCTTTTTTAAAAAGTCCAAAACTTTTTCTAAATTAAATCTTTCTAACGCCAACCCACCAACATCGTGTTGCCACCACCCCACAACCACTCCACCACTGGTGGCGGACCCAATTATTGTCAAAGGGGCCCTAAAAGTGTAATTATTTACAATTTTAGGGGTCAAAATAAAATTATATAGATTTTAAAGAAGAAAAATGCTTCTTCCTTTTTCTTTTTCTTTTTCTTTTTTTTTTTGTAAATACTCAAAATTACATTGGCTAAATGAGATTTTTGTAAAGTTTGGGAGGCCCAAGGTAAAATTATATAGATTTTGGAAATGCCAAGGAAAAATTGCACAGATATTGAAAGGACTAAAGTAAAATTACATAAATTTGGAAGGACCAAAATATTATTTTTAATTAAAAATAGTTAAAAATAATATAGATTTAAATGTAATTTTGTAAAGTTTGGGGGGAAATGGGCCTTGCTAGCCCCCTTGTGCCTACACCCACCACCACATCATTGTTGTCGCCACCACCATCCTACCACCTCTACTACAGCTACCCCATCACCACCAATACGACCATTAAGACCATCTCCAACGTTGCATCAGATTCAGTATCAAATTTGAATTTAATGAAAAAAGTCACTTTTTCTACTCCAATAGTTTCATCAAACTGATATCAAACTGAGAACGGAGCAAATTTTTCACCAAACTGAGAATCTGCGTGAGCTTTCACCAATTTACTGTGTTGTAACGTTGCAAGTGGGCCCACCGGTCAACCTACCGGACGTTCGGCCGGTCGACCCACCGATCAACCGGAAACAGATTCAAACAGTTCAAATAGGTAGGTTCAAACAGTTTAAAAAGGTTTAAAAAAAAATTAAACCTTACCGGCCGACCAACCGGTTGATCCACGGGATGACAAATGCACCGTTGGAACAACTGATATCAGATTGAGAAAATGAACCATTTTTTACTCAAATTTAATGAAAAAAATACTGAACTGTTAAAAATGCTCTAAGACATTAGTTTTAAGATCCTAACCAAACATAGAAAATTAATTTTACAAAAATAACTCATAATAAAAAGTTTTTTTTTTATATTTTTTATTAAGAAAATATTTTCTATCGAAACAAATATAGCTTAGAAGCTGTACCGGTCTCTTCCCTTCGCTTGTAATCTTGGAATGACTAGGAAGAATCTGGTCCAGGGCACCTTCATAATGCTTCAATTCCGACCTCTTACAAGCCAACCTCTCTGTGGAGTACTTACATGGTCCATGTTTTAACTCTGAAATAATATGATCTCGTTCTAACTGTTGGGAAATTCAAAAGATAAAGAAAAATCTTAGAATTTTTTTTTTTAAGCAAATTATTATACATGTGATTATTGTAATTTGTCTTTTGATTAGGAAATTAATTTTCAAATAAAACTGTTTGGTTCATAAATAAATAACTCGGTTTGGAAATCAACTACCGCACAAAACTATTTGATTTATCTGTATCTTTGATTCGAAAGTTGATTTCTAGCTCTCGAAAATATATATACCTTCTTTTGTTGTAAATCTTTGGTGACCCGAGCTTGAGCTTGATCTTCAAATCTGAAATTCAAATTCATTTCTTCATAGGATCGAAACTTGACGAAATAGAAGCAATGAATTTGCTTAGGAATAAGCTGTCTAGCTCTAGCAGATTCAGCAGTGGCAGCATTTACTGTAAATCTCAAACAGTAAAATATTTTGTTAAAACAATGAATGGTAAAAATAATTAAAATAGTTTTTATACTCCAAAAATACCCTATTTAAAAAATCTTAATATATACAATTAATTTTATATTTTTAACATAATTATATATTTTAAAATTTGAATTTATATAATATATAAATTATTTTATCAATAATTTTTGAATCTTATGAATAAAAAATAATCAGCGTGTTTGGTTTGAATTTTTTAAATTAAGTTTTTTAAAAATTGATTTTTTTGATTTTCGTATTTTTTTGTTTTTAGTGAATATTTTTTAAATTTTAAACATTTTTTTCTTTTTTAAATGCGCCTTACTTAAATGTATCTAAAAAGTAAAAAAATTGTAAAAAAATATTTTCAAAAATTAATAAATACATAAAAATACAAAAAATGTACTGAATTCTCATATTTTTTTGTATTTTTGATATTTAGTGAATTTTTAAAAGATTTTTTTCACAATTTTTTTATTTTGTAGGTATATTTATGTTAGGTATATCTAAAAAATAAAAAAAAAATGCTTAAAATATTTAAAAAATTCAGTAAAAACAAAAACACAAAAAACAAGAAAATAGAATTTTCTAAAAGGTGTTTTTTGAAAACAAGAACCAAGCAAAGTGATTACCTCTCGTTTTCTCTTTCTCATCAACACAAATTTCAAATTCATCTTCTTCACCTTCTTTTCTCAATTCCCCCATTTCCATAGAAGAATTAGCTTTCACTGCATCCATGTCAGCGTCCATCCACCTCTTCTTTGTTAGAAGGAGACATCACTTGCTAGTCTTAAATATACACTAAATATTCATAAAATAAAAACTATAGGTTTGAATATAAATAAATAAATATGGTTACTTGCACTGCACTCCAAGTCAGTCAACAACTCATTCATGTACTTTGGAGAGAGAAAAAAGGGTATAAAAATGGCCCACGCACACCTCTAATTAAAAATTATTATACAAATAACATTAACTGACAAATTAAAGAATGTATACTTCAATCCTAGGATTAGTCAAAATTTTACAACTGCAAGCCATAGGAGCTTCTAGTCATACAACAGGACAAAACAAAAGCAAAATAACTTAGTTCCCAAACATCATTTGGATTCGCTGACTCGACCTTTCTAAACCATAATAGTAGTAACCTGGTTATGAAGAAAAATTTGGAGATGGAAAATTGAAATATACTAGGTAACTCAGGTTCCAAAAGCAGCCAGTCTAGCTTGCCATTTCTCATATACACTAGCTATTTTGCATTGCCAGCTGCAATAATCAACTCAAGCCTGGAGAAATCTTCTAACAAAAAATGAAAACACCCTTCTCTGACGCCACCATCCTTTTTGCAGGGGACGTTCCGACAATCCTCTCCAGCTAGTAATCAAAAAAAATATATATATGAACAAAGTAAACTCACCAAATCAAAACTTGGAATAAGCATGGTATTTTTTAGCATCAAATTAAAGAACAAAACGTTACCCGAAGCTGATCAAAGCGAGAAAAAAGTGCAGTGCATGTCATGCTATCAGACCCTTCGAGCATATTAACAATCTACAACAAAAAATGGAGCAGGTTTTTAAGGAATGAATTATACGTTTTCCAAAGCCATTGATAATTAATCAGAATTCCAAGTAAAGAAATGAGAAAGGAAATCTATTTTGCAAAGATCATGCTCACCTCAGGGTAAAATTCTTTTCTTTCTGGTAGAGAATAGATAACTAAATTCTGAATACCACGAATCTGATTACAAGGAAAAGATGGATATACAAGTTAGAAATTTCCATCAACAAAAGTCTGATCTAAAATAAGTTTTTCCCTGACTGCAGAAAAGATTAAATCAAGCCATACTTTTGAGTTTCGATGATTGATATAGGGGTAATCAAAACAATATGGTTTCAGAAATTCAACATTGAATTAACACTACCAAAAATAACCAAGATGATAAAACAACAATCAATCATGCCCAAAAACAAAAAAATATAACAAAATAATAAAAAAAATACTTCAAAATAACCTTATATCTATGGTAGAAATGAGCTCTCTCAGTGTAAAGCATGATCTTCCGCTTTCCTTGGAAAAACCATACCCGCGCACGAGAAATATCACTCTGTTTTGTGTACCTAAATGTTTAGGCCACTAGTCGAATTAGTTCCTGTATGTTTGCAACTGATGGAGGAAGTTGACATCCCAATATCGCACAATAAAGTACCAAAGCTTCTCAAAGGACAACATAAAACAATCTAACACAAGTTAAAAGTAAGAGGTAAAGATGGTTCTTACTCCCCCAATAGACAAAAGGATGCATCCTGCGACTTCAAGAAATTTCGAACTCGAACAAACTCAAAGTAAGAACTAATAAATATCATAATCCCACCCTGCATGAAAATGTTCAAAGAACAGTTCAAAAAAAGTCAATTCTATACCTTATGCGTATAGCTCAATGCTCAGGCATACCAACAACTAATTTATTAGGGGTCAAACAAAATATTTTTTTGATAAGTGGAATCAAACAAAATATAAACACCTGAATAGAATCTTTTATCTTGGGGAACACCTGCAATAAGAAAACAATCAATATCACATATAAAATAAATTTTCACAACTCATAATGATGCAGCTAATAAGAAGCTCGAGAGAGAAAACAAAACAAACTCAAAAGCGAAAAATCTTACTAAACTTCAAATTCAGGGCCTTACTCTAGAGCTTTCATACTAATTTGAGTATTAATAACTTTTATCATGTGTTATGAAGTTAATACAATGTTGGTTCAGTTTTATTCTTGGTCTGTTAAATTTAATGGGTGATAATTTCTAAATTTTCTTGAGATGGGGTGGCCCATGTATCAAAATGCGCATAAAGTTATGTTATTAGGTCCCTTTAAAAGGTTGCTAGTTCTACTTAGACGGGTTTTAGACGAAGTGCTGAGCTTCAACATGACAAACTGTATTTCAAAAATTGAAAAAATAAATAAATAACAAACTGTTACCCTAATTGGATTACTTGTCCTAAGGTCTATATGAAACCATATAATGCTTTCAGTCTATGAAGAACGTTCAGGAGAAATGGCGGACCTTACTGAACTAAAGAAATTTATTTTTTATCTATGGCTTTAATTATTTTCAAAATTGCCTCACTGAAATTTAGAAAAATATTTTTTGGTTTCATAACTCAGGATTCACTTTTTAGAAAATTGAAATTTTTTATTTTCCGTATTTTTTTATTTTTACTAATTTTTTTTAATATTTTAAGCAATTTTTTAAAATTTTGGGTACACCCAATATAAATACAATTAAAAAGTAATTTCTTGTGTATTTATTGATTTTTTAAAATATTTTTTTACAAATATTTTACTTTTTAAATACATCTAAAAAGGTAAAAAAATTGCTTAAAATTTTAAAAATATTCACTAAAAACAAAAAAAATACGAAAAATAAAAAACTCAATTTCCAAAAAATTGAAACCAAACACACAATAGTTATCAAAATTTGTTGATTTGCCACCACTTAAATTTTGGAAAATATTATGCTACTATGGTTCTAAAATTTTTCCGATTTACCAAAACTAAAACTTCGAAAAATACTATTTTTACTTTCAGTTTTAAATTTTATTTTCAACTGAACTTTGGGGATGGTAAGCACTAGAAACAGAAGTTATGCGCCATAACATTTCAGCAAATGAAACTCAAGGCAGATAACAAGCATCAATATGTAGGAAATGTAGCCCACTCATAAAACTGTTAAAACTGTGGGGCTCAATACACATCTATCGACTACATTAAGCTTCTTAGAAAAGGAAACACGTTGATAATATTAATGTCAGTGACAGTTTTCACAAATCCCTTATTGCTGAGGTTCATGATATTTTGACTTGGTAGCAGACTAAATTTTAACCAATTCCGATTTTATGTACTTCCATAAATAATGTGCACTTCTAGAATGAATTAAACTCTGTCCCAAATTTAAATAAAGGCCTTGCATACTGCTATGAGAAATCAGACATACAGATTAGAGTTGACACAAATTTCCGTACTGCTAATCCAAAGCATTTTTATCATCGTCAAATTTTTCATATTGCTTTATTTTTGTCTTTCCCTTGCTACTTGTCAAAAGCGAGATCCCTAAGCATTCACTTCTAATTTGGAAGAACTCGTAAACATTCACTTGTATCTATTGGTGGAAGTAGAAGACTATCCAGTTTGAGTTAGAAATTAGAAAAATAGGTCCCAAAAAGAAGGCAATATTTTAGACAACAAAACACAAATAACTATTTTAAACAAACCTTCTTAGAAAAATATTCAAGACGAGCGTCATCCACATCTTCTATTGATTCCACATCAAAACGCTCATAAATCTGCAAGGTTGTGAGTAGCAGAATACGAGTTTACGAGAAAACTCGATATATACCAAAGAGAAAGTAATTGAAATTTGGAAACAATGGGGTCACCAAATCAAAGATAATGGGATTGTAAACTCTTGTAGTTTGCAAAATTTAAGAAATAAAGCTAAAAATAAAATTGATAATGTCCACTTTGTCAATCACCAGAATTTAGTTTCTTAATATGTTGAATGTATAAAAAGTATGCAACCCTTAACCTTTGGCATAATATGCACAAATTGGCTACCTAAAGGTTCAAACCCACAACCTCAAGGTTAGTAGGGTGAGTTCTAACCACTGAACAAATAGCTCCAATCAATGTGTTGAATGTATCTTGCAGCTAAATTCAAATGAAGCAAGAAGGAAAGAAGAGTTATATCGAAGATTACACACCTGTCGTACTTGAAGTAACACTTTGGGAAGAACAGATTTATGCTCACATAACATCTTCACCTGTAAGTATAACTAACGGATTAAATATCACAGATGTTGCACAAATAGACAAATGAACTCGGCCCTTGATCATTGCATACACCCATATCCACCAGTTTTAAAAGGCAATAGTGTCAGCTGAGATATTATATATTCTATTAGGATAGAGTAAACTTTCAATCATTTCAGTTTTTATTTAGAACCATACATTGATTAGTAAAAATTTTAAGAGAAGCAGATAGATGCAACAATGAAGAAATAAATTAATCATCTAAAATTATATGCAAAAATATAGGAGCATCTGTGTTTAGAAAGTTATTTATATTGCATCAACAAGCAATTATAAAATTACAAGTAGGATAATAGAACACAAATAACATGTTATCCTCAAAATCTCATTGTTGAATATGACCTAAAAGTGAAAGAAAAGAACCAAGAAAAAAAATATAGAACAAAATAAACAAACATGGCTATCACTTTAAAGCAGAAGCTAATCTTGAACGTTAACCACATGAATTGCATTTTTCCTAATAACCAATGTCACAAAAAAAACTAGTGAATATACTTGCCATAGAATTTCAAAGGGTAAAACAATTGTCAAGGACCAGAATAGGGAATCGAGAGGCAGTGCCTTAGATTGTGATGCATATACACTAATATACAGAAAGTTTAAGCTTCAAAACACTTTTAGAACTGTCTTGCCTCAACTTGAGCAGTTTCAAGGCCTTTTAAAACATAGGTGTGGTGCATAATAAAATGAAAAATATTAACACACCTTTCCTTGGTAGTTAATGCAATGACGATTGAACAAGGCATTGATCTCTGGAAGAAGAAAGTACAAGCATAGTTTAGGATCAATTTATTTCCAAAGTATTGCTCTGAGAAGTCTTAAAGGAAGTACTCAGGTTTGTATCACAGCACATATACAAATCAGACATATTATTAAAAGATGAGCTAATCAATCTAATATAGATAAAGCTTCTTTTTTTTTCTTTTTTTCCTTTTTTTTTGGGTAAGCAAGGATAAGTCTTCAATACAAAAAGAAATGATGATATTATAGGACTTCAATTGATGTATACTTGACTTGCCAATAGTAAAGCTGACACCAATGCCGTGACATAAATTAAAAGTCCTGTTTCCAGGTTCCACTTACTGAGGCAGTATAAATAAGGGAGAATTTCGAAAAAGTGGAGTAGGAAAAATAATTTTAAAGTGATGGCAGAACAAGACTTACTTGCACAATCTAATACATAAATCACTTGTACTTCCATCACTTTTGAAATTATTTTTCTACACTAGACTTTTTTTATATTCTCCCTATAAATAATCGCATAATCAACCATCTCTGTAGCCCAATGATTTGCCAGATATATGGACCAAATTTTAGTTAATAGTAGTAGGAAACTCAATACCTGGATTTAAATGAGAACCCAAAATTATTGTTTGTCGGTAGAACTGTGCATGTCCATCTAAATACCTATGCAATAAAAGAAACTCAAAGAAGTCAATTTCAATAAACAAACAACATGAGACAAGAAGCTTTAAAACGGAGAATGGAAGCCTTTTGTGACAATTCTACATAGCAAGAAATAGGATAAATGAAAAGATAAAATGAAGAAGAAAAAAAACTAATTAAGAAACAGGGATTAAGAATGTACCACTCTCTAATGCGCATAATATTAGTTCCATGCTGCTTAGATGGTATGTGGTTCAACTGTTCAACAACTGTATTTACATGGGACCAATTCTGCACAAATTTTGTTGGAAAATGAAACAAAACAGCAAACAAATAATAAAAAAATAACAATTAAATATCAGATCAAACATTAGACAAAAAATGTCAACTTTATAAACTGATCACAGAATTTACCTGCATAGCTATTATGTCCGAATGATCAATGATTAAAACCTGCACATACATTTTGTCTCAATTAACTAAGAAGTTCGCAATACCAAAGTCCACAATAAAGGCAATGTTCATTTTCAGTTGGATGCATAGCTAGTTTAAATTTCTCTTCCAAGGGCTTTTTAATTGTATAGGAAGCAACTAATTTTCAAAAGCAGTGGCTATAACTTTCAGAAAAGTAAAACAAAAATCACCTGCTGCAAATCTGTTGTTTGTTTGTTTCTAGAACTTCCAAAAAAGGAGAAGAAAACAAAACAAACAAATAAATAATTGCAAAATAGCCCTAAATCTATTGAAATACTATATAAAAAAACCATGAATAAATGAGATAAATTACCTCTATCGAAGAAAGATAATCAACATCTTTTTCCTTTTCTACCTCGGCCTCCCCAATTTTCTGACAAATGACATTAAGTAAATCTGGAGTCAATTTCCAAAACATACTATAAACTACCTACAATATGGAATATGACATCAAGTCTTGTGCAAGCATACCATATAAACCTAATACATCACAAGAATACAAATAGCACAAACTACACTGAACTTAGTGGCATAAAATTGAACATATAACTAGTTAACAACCACAATAGCGATCATCTATCCACTCTATCAAACAAATTATACTATACGTAACAAAAATAAAATAAAAATCCAATTCATACATCAAACTATAAGTTAATATTGCACAAGAGAATACAAATAGCACAAACTACACTCCAAAACAGGTTCTCATGGATATTGCCCATGTCATGTTTGTGGTTTTTCTCAGTGATAAATCCAAAAAAGAAAGAGAACTGAAAGTGCAAACAATGCTTACGGTGATTAAACCAAGAGGAGAGGCAACAATCATGTCAGATGAATAGAAATCACCATACAATTTTATGCTCCTCCTACAGAAAAGTACCCAACAAATGGTAAAATGGTCAATAAGAAGAAGTTAACATAGAACTATATAACAACCTATTCTCTTTCTACTAATTTTCAACACTAACAATGCAATAAAGTGTATTGAAATTTCCAGCAAAGCATTGATAAGAAATTAGAATTCATCAAATTTTCAAGCAAAGTAAAAATAGAAAGTGCAATAACACAAGTGCCAAAATTCACCAAGCACGTATACAAATCATCCAATGCACCTACATCAGGTTCCAATCAATTGAAGACCCTCCAATTACTTTCTTTCTAAATATAACATGGATGTATGTAGCACTAACATCAATTTTACACCTACTCAAAATGTTATTGACAACTAATGAAGTAGGAACTTCAAGTCCCACACTCAATTCTCAACACTCAAGGACCATCAGACACTATCCTTTATTGCTTTGATGATTTTTTTCCACAATGAGTCCTTGTGATTACAGCACAAAAGAACATATAAAATAGACGCACAAAAAAATTCTTTGACAAAAAATATTAGCTTTAATGGTGTTCTAACAATGTTCAAGGAATTTGAAATAGGTTATACTGAAAAGACATTTACCGTGTAAACTTAATGCCTATCATGAAGTGGTCATTGTTATTCCCATCAAACAGAGCTTGATAGTCAGAAGGCTTTGAAGGCTTCTGTGATTTTGAAATTTCATTATCATTTCCTTCATCATCCTCATTGTCATCAGCCACTCCAGTTCCAAACTCATCAGAGAAGCGATCAAGGTGCTCCACATTAACCTGACGAGGGCAATAAAATTACAAATAAAGATGGGATTCAAGGTGCTCCGCATTAACCTGAGGAAGGCAATAAAATTACAACTATAGAGGACCTGATCGCCTTAAAAAATTATCCTTCTTTTAAAAAGAAACAGAATGGATTTGTCTCAATTTGTCAAATCCGAATTACCAATAATGACAAACTCAAAGTGCCACCTAGAATACCTTAGGTATATATTCCTGCATCATGCAATGTTGAATTCAAAGAACAATAAGGATCTTCTCAAAATGCCATCTAGAAGTCCTTATGCATACTTTCTAATAGTCAGGTTGCATCACAAAATTGCAAATTTTTAAAACTCACCTCTCTTCATCCAATAAGTATGTAAATGTATTAGTTGTTAGACTTCGCCCACTTACATTAGAAGTTAGAACTAGGACAAAGGCTCCTAACTAGGAAACTTTGACACTTCAAGAAATAAAAACATATTGAACTAAAGAAGACTGCATGTAAAGACCCAACAACAAAACTCACCCCAAAATAAGACCCGTGTGCAGCGGAATACCTTATGTGCAGAGGGGGTCAGCTGTATTAGCCTCTTAACTACACGAAATGCAATGCTTGCAAGTGGCAACAGGATCAAAATCTGGATCAAATCATTACAAAAAAATCAAGCTTCTAAGCTAAGCAAATAAATATATAAAGTAAAGATAATAATAGATTATTGAAATAAAAAATCAAAGCAAGAAAAAAAAAGCTGAAACGAGCCACAGATGGAAGCCATCAAATTCCCTTATCAGTGGCCAGAAAATAATTATCCTTGTAGAAAAACAAGCCACAATAACATGATAGGAACTTCTCCAAAAAGAAAACCGACAACAAGCATGATAGCAATAAAAGAGAATCTATGAATTTCGCATGGTGCTCATTTTGGACCTTGTCCGCAGTTGAGGTTTAATTTGAATATTATTCACATTTCTATAACATAGTTAATGGCCGTTTTTTTTTTTTTTACATGATTTCTAGTGTTTAAGGGTCAAAGGTGTTTTGATTCTGTACATTGCTGGAAAGTGCGCTGCTAAGGTGCAATTTTTGTAGGCCTTAATTTTTGTTTGGGCTAGATTTGATAGGTCTGTTGTATTCGAATAAACCCTTTATTTTTTTAAAATCAGGAACAAAATGAAATAATATTAATTAAAAAGGCATGAAAAAGTACAAATGAGAACAAGAAAGGTTTGAAAAAGTACAAACGAAATAATATTAATAAAAAAGGTACGCATCTTGGGTTATACCAGCATCCTTGCTTCAATTTTATGAGTTTTAGCTTTATGGATGCATTTAAGGAGAGCAAGAAAGGTTTGAAAAGTGGCACCCATCAATTTGATGTAAGAATAAGCATATTTTCAAGGACAGAGACAGCCATTCATGGGTTAATTTATCTTTAAAAATAAATTTTGAGGGGGCCTAGGTCATTTGACCTAGAAAGCATTCTATTTGCCAACTGAAAGTTCCTCTTTGTTGGAGAGCATGAGTAAAGATAGGAAGAGTGCCTTTTTATCCTAAAAAGAAAGGACACGGAGGCCTTCGCTATCTTTGGTGAGTGTTACGTGTAAGTTCACATGAAATGAGATTTAAATATAGAAACACAATTAACCATCATTATATCTAACCTAACGTTGTTCATAATGAAATCATTACCAGCCACACCACAAGAAAGCACTAGGCAATACCTTAGGACGAGTGAACCCCTGGTCAAGCAAACCATCTCCAGTAAGTATTTCCTCCTTTGCACTTTTTTGATGTTTGGCCACTCTTGCATCATTCTTTGTTACTAGATCTCTAGTTATGAATATATGATTCAGCTGCATAACATAATTTTTTTCTTATCACTATAAAAACGTTTTGGGATGACAAGACTGAAATCTAATATAGATTGGCAAGTTAAAACATGGAGAAGGTATAAGGGCATATACGTACAGAATGCATTAGATACGCATCCATGACACTTGAGTCTTCTTCCCGGCCTTTGAGATAAAATGGCTTCTTGTTGTGGTGCAGTATATCTCGATAACTGTTGACTAGAAAAATAGGTATGCATTAGCAAGTAAAACACCAATAGCTACAAGATGGAACCATTCAGAAACTCAATTAAAATCCACAGTAAATTGGATTGTCTTACATTCTTTTTTTGACAAAAAGGCAATCTTTAGCAAAGAAAATAAATACAAGAACATGGGAACATGTGCAAAATGAGAGAAGTTTTCGTAACATAATAGAGGATAGAAACAACAGCACTATAAGAGATCAAACTCAAAAATATCTAAACCCATCAAAGCAAACACCCAACTTCTTGGGGATGAATACACAGGTCCTCTTTCACAAATGACAAAAACAAGTAGTCCGTGTCTATAACTGCATAAACATGAGTATTTTGCAAAGAACAAGACATAGAGTTCGTATGAAACAATGCCACTTCTGGAAAGTATCAACGGCCTGATTACACCAAAGGCCTCAGTGATGAATAGTGTAAGATGTTGAAGGCCCAATTTGCAAGGGCATAAAGCCGCCCACACAAACCACCCAATCCACCGAATTGAAACCTCCTGAATATATTAACCAACCCACCATTTTGGTGAACTGCAATTCAGCTTCTGGTGGCAAAACAAATCAATCTGCCATTGGCAGTTCAGTTGACATTTTCCCCCCAAACCGTTCCACACCGACATGTGTACACCCCTAAAACAGATTGTCTAGGTAGTAGACACACAGAAAATGTAATAGTAATAGATAAAAGTGTCCAAGTAGAAGGCCAAAAGCCTAAGTAAAAGAAAAGACACAAAGCCCACCCATACCAATATGCAGAGATAGAATGACCTAGCAAAGTATGACATGTGAGTAATAGGAGTAGCTGAATAGATTTCAATTAAACCCCACCACTGCATTCATTGCCTAAGTAACAAACATAGCTGAATAGATGTGGAAAAACAAAATACGACATGTTGATCATCTTCACTTACAAAGGGAGAAGAAATATCTCCGTTTAGATGAATCAAAATCATTGCCTCCAGGTGCCTTGTAGATATCCAACCAATGCTTATATAACCTTAGCTTAGGAACATAGCCCGAATGTAGGTCAATATCCTGCAAAATGACAATTAAACTATACAAAATTATTATGAATGGAGATATATTATGTATCTAATACAACTATATATACAGTAAAAGAGCAGCCACATTGAAGAAAAGTCTATTCTCACTCCTTGTGAATATCTTATATTCCATCAAACAATCTGGTACCCCTCCCATTACACAACACATAAATAGAAGAAAAGAAGGATAATAAGCTTCAGATGCAACATCCCTTGGAAGCAACTGCCTTCAAGTTCCAACTCCAAAGAAGAGCATCAAATGAGGCAAAGAAGACTGAAGCCAACCCAAAACCAAGTGCACAATGAAAGACCACATAAAAGAGGCAACATGGAAGAGGATATATTGCTAGTGAAACAGTTCTCAAGGGACACCTTATCCCTTGTTACATGGCTGACTGGTTGAAAAATTCTATTAGTTAACACAATCTGTATTAAAGACAAATTCGAGAAGGGTAGAAATCTCAATATCCTGTTAAGCAGCTAGCCTCTTTAATCCTCACAAGATTCAAATTATAAAGCAATTAGAAGAAATCAAGTTAACAAAAATTCAACAGTCACCCAACTGAACAACAGAACAGCCATGGGCATGAATTTAAACGAGAAGAATAAATAACATCATGGCTGCCTACAATCACATGGAAACCCTTTTTTTTTTTTTTTGACATGTATTACCAACAAGGCACTGGGTGAGTGTCGCCCATATACAACTATCAGAAAAGAGGACAACAAGAAAGAAACATTTATACACAGACTTCTATCTCCAAAATCTATGAAAACTAAAAACAGATCAAGAAATGGGGTAGTATACCAGCTATACAAAATGAACAAAAATATACTTCTTAGAAATAAAAAGGGTCTGCTCCACGCCCTCAAAAGTTCTTCGATTGTGAGCTTCAAAACTGCTAAAGGTCCTCAAACTTCTTCTCTTTGTAATTGACAACATTACATGCTAAATAAAGACTTCTAAAGACGTCAACTTTAATACAACAAAGCCTTCCAAATAAGCAACTTAAGGTTTTGACTTGTAAAACCCATATAAACCAATAAGCCCTGCCTTCAAATAATGTTGATTTTCGAAGTTTCTCTCTTTTGAATTTACTTTTCCTTGAGTTTCTCGTGTACTGCATCATTATCACTTTACCTACTTTCACTACATCCTCAGCCTGAAACCACCAAACTTAGCAGCACGCCAGAAACTGAGAAGACTGAACAACCACAATATACACTATATATACAAGGAAGATGTCCTTTCAAAACTCACATGAAACAGTTATTAATGGGTTCCTTTATTATAAAGAATAAATTTGCAAGACAGATTGACCGACAAGAATCAATATACAACACAAAGACTAAATAAATAAGTACCTTTATAAAACATTCTCCTGTCCCTATCCACTTGCAATTTGGTATATCAAAAGCAGGCACCTCCCATTTATATTTCCATTTTCTTTTTGATAGAACATCCACCTCTGCTTTTGATAATTTGTACCCGAAGTGATCACAAAAGGAACTACATGAAGAAAACCATATGTAAATTTCACAAGGTAACTAGAAAGAAATATATATATATATATATATATATAACGAAATCCAAAACTCATTGAGCAAAAAATATTGAATAACCAATATTACAGAACGAGGGTGTTTGTTTGGGCTTTTTTAGCCAACTTATAGCTTCTAGCTTTAGAATAGCTATTTTGGACTATTTGGTTAAACTTATTTCAATCAGCTTCTAATTTTAACAACTTATTTTAACTCAAAAAAACTGATTCTGAGAAGCTGCTCACCCCTTACTTTTGATTATCAGTTTCTGCTGTAGACATATTAATTTACGGTTATATTCTTAGATTTCTTTTTTTATTTTTTAAAAAAATAAAAAAAAAAACCCAAATGGACTATAGATTATTATTATTATTTTTTATGAGAAATGTAGACAAATAGTGAATAACAAAAAAATTTCACAGCTTATTTAACAAATACTACTCAGCAACTTAAATCTATAATCCAACAGTAACACCAAACAGATTAACAACTTCTGATTAAGGTCATAATCTATAATTTGTTTTAACAGCTACACCAAACATGGCCAACAATTACTTTCTTTAAATATTTAAACCTCACTATTTTTTCCTTTTTTTAGGCGGCAAACCTAACTAAATTAATTTTACTATTCTCCAAGCATTTTTAACTAAGCAGCCAATATAAAAATATATATAAAGGTTGCACCCAATGCACAAGGCTTCCAGTAAGTGGACAGTCTTTCCCCACCTTCTTATTGAGAAACTGATTCTCATGAATCGAACCTGCACCAAAGCACTAGGATAAGATAGCACTTGCAATTTCTCTAAGTCACGACCTCTTAAAATGAAAAGTAGGTATACAATGCCTTTTATGAACCACCCCCCCCCCCCAAAAAAAAAAAAAAAAATTAAAAAATTACAGGGACAAAAAAGATTAAAAAAAAAATATCAATCAATGAAATGAGCAAACTAATAACAAGCAAGTAGAGCCTTAGAACATGATGGTAATCATATGAATTTTCTACTATGAACAACCCCTTGATGGCCCACACATCATCTTTACCATTATTTAATTTCCATATTCTTGAATTTACCTCAAGGGAGAGGTGAAATTTGTCACAGCCCCAACCTCAGGCTTTAGATTAGTTAATGGCATCACAAAGTATTAAGAAACCAACAAGAATTAATTCAAGATTAAGCAAGGTAATTGATATAATTAGACTAATTAGAATTAATTTCATTCAATCAACACACAATAGAACTTCTAACTAAATGGGATTCACCCATAATTAACCATCACAAAATAACATGTAATGGAGAGGGTAACACCTATGACATCCTCTCCTTTTAAAAAGTTTGGTCCTCCAAACTTTAGTGTAAACAAAGGAGGACACTTCAACTAATGACTTCTGCAAATATTTAATACTAAAATCATTAAGAAATCTCACATATAACTGCACCCATCTTGGTTCCCTTTTTTTTTTTTATTGGCATCTTAGTTCCCTATTGTGATAAGACTCCTATCAAGTAATTCGAGCGGCGAGCAGTTGCAGTTGCCGTAACAGTGGCGGTGCGCGGTTGCGATTGCGGGGTGTAAAGGCCGTAGCGTAATGGTTGCAGTAATCGGAACCGTGAATTTTTTTATTTCTCGCACAATTTAAAAAAAACTTACCGATACACATATTTTTTTCCATAATCATATTTATTCAGTTTTAAAATAAATATTGATCAATTTTGGTAAATTTTTAAATATGATCCAATATATTTCATATTTTTAAATCACTATAAACTGGTTTTTTACATTTTATTTTAATAATTAATGACTTTATATGTCATAAATCCATATTATGTTTATGGCAACAACAAAAAAAATTTGGAGTTAGATGTATAAAATTATTTTTTAATTATTATACTTGTGGAAGCATATGCAACTTTTAATTTGAATAGTTTTAAAAAATAAATTATACATGCTAATGTAATCATAAAAAAATTAAAAAATAAATTATAAAGAAATTTTTTTTGTTTGGGTTTGGATCACTTGAATATTCATTCTCTTTTTGGATAACTAGTAAATAAAAATAAAATAAACTAATCAAAGAAAATTGACATGTATAAAAAATGTATTAATAGAATAGCATAAGTCTTACAGCTTTAACAAATCAATAACATGTTCATCATCTTCTCTCTTTTCTCTCTCTATTTCTTACTCCTCCATCTTCCCTTTTCATCTTCCCTCTTCTCTCTCTATCCCTCTTCCCCCCATTTTCAGCTCTTTTTTTTTTCGAAAGAAACAGTTCGGAGCCGTTATGTAACGGTGTGTAACAGGCCGTTACAACTGTTACGGCACCGCTACGACCACTACGGCAGCCGCTACGGCCGACACACCTGTGAATCTCAATCACACTGCAAAAGCAGTCGTAACGGGTGGCGGTAACTACCAAAACCATTACGTAACGGTTGTAGCCGCTTTTTAAAACCTTCAGCGGAGTAGATAGAAAACACTAATACCTAGCGGTATATGTTCTGGAATGTACAACATTCTATGTTTCAAAACATAGTACACTTCCATTCCAATACACTGAATCTAACAACCTGAAAAATGTTTTGCTTTAAATCCATGTTTCCTTACAAGAAGGGGAAAAGTCAATTATGAAAATGTTAAACAGTTTATATGAGAAGACTGAAGAAAGGACCACAGCACATTAAATGTTGTAACTTACTTAGGGTACACTTAGTTTTAGGCTTTTACATGATTAATTTCAAATTTTCAACATAAAAATTTCCAAGATAAACAGAAAATTTATGCAATTTAACAATATTGTTTTCATTAATAATCTATTTTTAAAAAAAAAACATCAGTCATATATTGGAGAGAAAGGGGGAAAAAAAAAAACAAAAACATTAACACATTTAAACTACATGGTCTATGTAAGTCTTCCCCTTCTAAGGCATTTTAAATTACATGACAGATACACAGCAACTTATATAATGGAGAAATTTTCAGTTTATAGGCAGCTATATCTTAGTTTGCATGCCAAACAAGTTAGAATGAACTGCTGAGAGTACTTACAACCGAGTAACCAAGCTTACAATGCTAAATATGAGCATATATTTTGAACTTTAACCGCAGCTTGAACATGGAAGCAGCTATAATGGGATCTAGCAAGAACTATGTTGTGTGGGTGTTGGCATGGATGTCAAAAGATCAGGCAATGGGATATAGCAAACTCTAAAAGGAAAAAGAATTCTGGTGTAATATTTTTTATTTTATGATGATTGTGCACCGTATAGCATATTACAAGAGCCAAGACCACCCGTACCACAAGACATGAAATTGGTTTTTTGTAACAAAGCAAAGAACTATAAATAGTACTACTAACAAAACAAGAAAACATTCTCAATAATGACAACTCATCACCAGATCAACAATAGGAGGAAGTGAAGGCAGGGAAGGGAACAGAGAGAGAGGATATGAAATTTTAATGAGAAAGTTAGGCAGTTAATGGACTTATATCCCTTAATTGAATCAAAAGTAGACATTATTGCATAGCATGATAGGAATCTCCACATAATGATGAACATATTTAAAACAACTTTTTCAAAAGTGGCGTGTGTTTACAAAACCTCGTGCTCACTGAAGCCTCTGCAGCTGATTGACCATTGACTGTCAATTCACGGTCTTCATCTGTCTCGTAGACCTCATCATCATCACCATCATCGTCAATTCCAGCATCTTCACTCGTCTTTGTAACGCCCACCAAACCAAAGCCTTGCATATTACTTCTCGTACCAAGACTTGTAGGAGACTCCTTGTCAGTTTCTAAGTAGTGAAAAATGTGAAGAAAGCCATGAATCAGACTAGTCAAAAGACCATGACAAAATCATAATTAGGAAACTTGGCATCCATACAAGCAATGTATGGCAGCAAACCTATTAAAAAATCAGTATTTATCATCAAATGGTGGATTAAAACATGCATTAGTAAGCTCTTAGTCTAGAGGGGTTTCATTTATGTAATAGTATCAAAGAAATATCTCTCCTCCTATAATGCACTACCTATTAAAAAAACAGCATGTATCATCAAATGGTGGATCAAAACATGCATTAGTAAGCTCTTAGCCTAGAGTGGTTTCATTTATGTAATAGTATCAAAGAAATATCTCTCTTCCTATAATGCCCCACACTAGTGCATTATGGCAAGGCTCTTTGGTATCTAACAGCTTTGTCAGGAAGCTCCTCAAGACAGCTTAGTGCATAAATTAGACTTCTGTGGCCTCAGCACAAAGGAGCAAACAACTAGATACAATAGGACAATGCCTTTTAGCTATGATGTGATGTGGGTAATTTAAAATAAAAATAAAGCTAGCATATTGAAGTTAGGTAGAGTTGGTGGGAAGCTATTTGGAGCAGGTGTTCTCTCTTCCTTTTTTAGCATCTAAAACTACGAGATCATAGAAATTCCTTTCATTTCAATCATGAGTGACCAGAATGTAGCGTCTTATTCATGTACTCCAACTTGGTCAATATTGAGGATTCATTCAATGGAAGAGTTTCTTATTACAATAGGGAAAAAAAGTGTTTCCACAAAAAACAACAAAAACAAAAACAAAAAAAATGGATTCTTAATCTTACTACTTGAATCAATGTAAAAAATAAAAAATAAAAATAAATAAATTAAATCTTACTATCTGAAATCATTCTCAATTTGTAAAACTCAACAAACCTACCACCCAAAGTCTTAATGGCCTCAAGATTAGCGAGGCATTACCTATAAAGCTAAAAACACAACCTTAGGCCAGAAAAATTATTCAGATTCCTTTCCCACATAAAATTAGCAAGAACCCCCATGATATTTCAAATAAACCAAATGTAATTTTTTTGTGTTCAAAGGACAAAATAATAATATGATAAATTCTAGGACTGAAAACTATTAAAGAATGATTAAAAGCTATATCGAAGGAACAACAATCCTAAATTAGACAATAGTAAGATTAAAAGTGTGAAGACCTCATATGTAGTTCTCACCTTTCTCACCATCATCCTCTTCCCCTGATGCACTAAAAGATTCCAATTCAATTCCCAGATCTTCTTCCGTGTCACTTTTGCCTTCTTCTTCTCTTTGTCTACACACAACAAAAGCAAATGGTAAGTGTTGATTTGTTATTTAATTAACTAAAATTTGAAGCAAGCTACAGAAAATTTGAAATTATGATCAAAGAATAATATCTTGAAAAATAAAAACATATGACTTGATAATTCATATTACATAGATTTCACTTCCATTTATGTTTTGGTAAACATAATTAACACAAAAATGTATCATGTGACAGGCAGCAACCTTGACCCAAATTTATATATATATATCCAACAGTAAGGCCAATACCAATTTAAGGCATCGATATATGTGCAAAGTGCAATCATTATTTAGCAAAAGTGCCAGCATCAGTCAATAATGCCCATATCATTTAATTATCAATACATGGTGAAAATGATATGATATTGCTACTTAGAAACAATTACTGCATCAATTTCATTATCTAGCAGCACCATGTTGCACTCTGAACCTTCCAAACTGTAACCAAAGTAAATTCACAGAATGCACCCAGTTTGAATGCAGTAGCATCAAGAGGTCCCCTTGGATCCAAATAAGCACAAGAAGCAAGTCAGGAGATAAGAAACCGACAACTTAAGCAGACCAGACCAAACTAAGCCAAGCCTTAAGTCCCATCAAATGAGATTAGTTACATGAATCCTTCTTCTCCACTCGGCTCTATTCAAGGCCATTTCGTTAGTCAAATTAAGGAGGTTCATATCTCTATTTACTACTAACCCACGTCAATCTAGATCTGCCCCTTCTCCTAATATTTCCATCTACCATCATTGTATTGCATCTCTTCACTACTGCATCTGTTGGTTTCCATTTTATATGACCAAACAATCTCAATCTATTCTCTCTCAACTTATTTTCTATCAATACTACTCCTACTCATTTTCGAATATACTCATTCCTAACTCTATCTTTTTTAGTCTTGCCACACATCTACCTTAGCATCCTTATCTCAACAACACTCATCTTATCTATATGTTGTTTCTTAGTTGCCCAACATTTCGACCCACACAACATCGCTGGTCTAATAGTCATTTTATAAAACTTCCCTTTTAGTCTAGTGGGTACTCGTTTATCACACAGTACCCCAGACACACTCCGCAACTTAAGCCACACCGCCTTAATTCTATGGATCACATCCGCTCCAATCTCCTCAGTCGTTGTAATAATCGATCCTAAATAACAAAAATATTCACTATTAGGTAGTTCTTTGTTCTCAATCTTCACTTATCCTCTACTTCCATTATTACTGTTACTAAAATTATATTTCATGTACTCTATCTTAGTTCTGCTTATCTTAAATCTTTTAGATTCAAGTTCTTCTCTCCAAGTCTCCAACTTAATGTTAACTCATTCTCTAGTCTCATCCATTAACACGATATCATCTGCAAAAAGCATACAAAATGGCACATCATCCGTCTAGTGGGTACTCGTTTATCACACAGTACCCCAGACACACTCCGCAACTTAAGCCACACCGCCTTAATTCTATGGATCACATCCGCTCCAATCTCCTCAGTCGTTGTAATAATCGATCCTAAATAACAAAAATATTCACTATTAGGTAGTTCTTTGTTCTCAATCTTCACTTATCCTCTACTTCCATTATTACTGTTACTAAAATTATATTTCATGTACTCTATCTTAGTTCTGCTTATCTTAAATCTTTTAGATTCAAGTTCTTCTCTCCAAGTCTCCAACTTAACGTTAACTCATTCTCTAGTCTCATCCATTAACACGATATCATCTGCAAAAAGCATACACTATGGCACATCATCCTGAATATTTCTCATCAACTCATTTATAACTAAAGCTAAAAGATAAAGACTTAAGGTTGATCCTTGATGTAATCCTACAGTGATTCGAAATTCACTTGTCTCTCTAGCAGGCGATCTAATAGTGGTCACCACACCTTCATGCATATCCCTAATCACATCAATATAACTTTTTGTCACCCCTTTCTTCTCTAACATCCATCAGATTATATCTCGAAGCACTCTATCATATGTTTTCTCAAGATTAATAAAAACCATATAAATGTCTCTTTTCTTTTCTCTATACTTTTCTATTACTCTTCTCAAAAGATAAATCGCTTTCATTGTTAGCCTACCATCCATAAACCCAAATTGATTTTCTGACATCTCTGTTATATCTCGCAATCGACGTTCCATCACTCTCTCCCACACTTTCATTATATGACACATTAGCTTGATTCCTCTACATTTATTGTAATTTTTGGCTTCTCCTTTATTCTTATAGATTAGCACTAAAATGCTCTTCCTCTACTCCTCTGGCATTCTTCTAGTCAACAAAATCTTGCTAAATAACCTAGTCAACCAAGCAACCCCCTTTTTACCCAAACATTTTCAAGCTTCAATAAGAATATCATCGAGTCCTAAAGCATTATTCGATTTCATTTTCTTAAGTGCAATCTCCACTTCAAAGTTCCTAATCCTACGATAGAACTTGTAATCCTGGTTTTCCTTATTACTGTCTAGTTCCTTCCTTTTTGACCTACCTTCATATTCCTCATTTGACAACTTTTCAAAATAGCTCTTCCACATCTCTTTAATCTCTTCATCCTTCACCAACACATTAGAGTCCTCACTCTTGATACACTTAACCTAATTAAAATCTCATGTTCTCCTCTCTCTTATCTTAGCAAGTTTGTATATCCTCTTCTCTCCCTCTTTTCTATCTAGTCTAGTGTATAAGTCATCATAGGCTTTCAACTTAATCTCTCTCACTACCTTTTTTGACTTCCTTATTATCCAATCTATAGCTCTTAAGGTTTTCTTCAGTTCTATCATTCTGTCACTTTTTAAAACACTCTTTTTTCGTCTTTACTACCGCTTGAACCCCCTCTCCACCGCCAAGTTTCCTTAGAGTTGGGTCCCTTTTCTTTCGACTCTCAAAGAACTTTCCTTCGGATTCTCCTCATACAATTGGTCATTGAGTTTCACATAGTATTAGCATTATCTTCCAAATCTCAAGTACCTTCTCTATCCATTCTATTATTAAATATTTCTAATTTATCTCTTTTTAGGTCCCACCATCTCGTCCTACAACGCCCACTATTCTTTCTAACTTGGTATTGCCCTTTAAAGCAGAAATCTAGTACCAAAATCTTATGTTGAGACGTCAAGCTCTCTCCAAGAATCACCTTACAATTATTGCATTGTAGACGGTACACTTTTCTCATTAGAAAGTAGCCTATTTAGCTCCTAATTGACCCACTCTTAATTATTATCAAATGCTCATCTCTCTTCGTATACATAGTATTGGCCACCACCAGGTCAGAAGCCAATGCAAAATCTAAAATACTCTCACTAGCCTCATTTCTATCACCAAAATCATACCCCACCATGCACCCTCTCATAACCTAATTTATTTATTCTTGCATAGCTGTTGAAATCACCCCCTATAACTAGGTTTTCTCCTACAGGTACCTCCTATATATCCTCATCCATTTGGTCCCAAAAATCTCTTAGTCTGATCATTTAATCCTACTTGTGGGGTGTATGCACTAATAATGTTCACTATATTCTCTCTAATAACTAGTTTAACAAACATAATCCTATCACCTTTTCTAATGACCCCCACTACATTTTTTACAAGACCCTTGATAATTATTATTCCTACCACATTCTTGTATCTATCCTTATCACTATAATACAATTTAAAACCGGTATCCTCTATTTCTCCAACTTTTTCACCCGTCCACTTAGTTTCTTGTACGCAAGCTATACCAACTCTCCTCCTAATCATGACATCTACCAATTCCATAGTCTTACCAATTAAAGTTTCTACATTTCATGTGGCTACCCCAAACCAATAGTCTTAAACTAGTTTCTTTATCCACGCTCATCCAAAAAAATGCGAAAACTTTGCCCATTTTTCACCGCACTTAGGCGTCAATGCAACGCCCCTTGCTCACTTTTTGAAACACCCGGAGGCAGGCGCAACACGTCACTTAAGAGGAACGACCTAGCATTTAATTGATTCAAAGTAGGATTCATTTTCATAAGGGATTCAAAGTAGGATTCATGGCTTTTTTACGTGTTAATTGTCGGCTACCCAACACATAACCCTCTTCTAACCAAAGCATTCAATCAAATTTAGGCGTAAGAAATGTAATGCATAACACAATTCATCAAACTAAGTCATCAAAAAATACCACGTTGCTACTTAAAAAATAAAAATTCCTTTTATAAAAAAATATATATTTATTAAAAAAAAGAAAGTATCACCTTCTTTTATAAGCATTAGCAAAGGAATCACTACCCGACCCCAATGTCTTTAACAAATTATCATACATTGTGGGCTCTTTATAAGCCGTTCCTGCTTCTTCTTTGGCCTCTTCTTCAGAATCTACAGTTGAGTGTTCCGGTAATAAATCCTCTGTACCCAATAAATCAACAAAACATATCAAATATAGCCATTCATTCGAAGTTAAATCCTCAGGAAATAGGATTCACAAGTTTGGATTCCTTAATAAAGGTTCAAAAACATGGCAAAGTGAGTTAGACTAACATTAACTTGATTGTGAACCCTTCACAACTAACTAAACATATTGAGACAGCCAATATAGAAGATTTAACTCGCCTGAGGCACTCAGGGAGGGTCTGTGCTCAATCTCATCTTTGGCACGCCGATGTTTTCTTGTATGCCAGTTTGTCCCAGACTCCTTGGGTGTTTTTGGTCTCTTGAATCCTGATAAAAACACGACAAATAAACACAACCATCCATATGCAGCAGATATACATCTATACTATCAATACTCGTATGAAAAATGACTAATGTATCAGTTTGGTTGTGTAAGTGAGGCCTTTTCCAATTTTCAATACAAATTTATCCAACAAAAAAAAAAATTAACTATTTGAAAGAAAAAAACATTGCCTGTGTTTTAATGGTAAAATTACAAATTCTACCATTCAAAAACATCAATTTATGTACTGCTTCAGTTATATTACATAGTGCATAAAAATGAGACGAACCCACTTCACGAACACCCATACTGAATCCCTTTAGCCATTGATGAACCTTTTCATCTGAACAACTTTCAAAAAAATTAAACTAGTAACTAAGTAGACTATGCATAAAACAATTAAAGACATTTTTTGGGCTCAATACAAAGGAAAATGTCAGTGATTTACAACAACACCACAAAAAAACTAATAGTACCAATACAGCCATCAAAAAAAGCAGTAGCTAAACTATTTTAGTTTCTTTTCTTTTCTTTTCCTAGGGTTTATCGGCAACCAAACGGATGATAAAGAGGGAAGAGGAGAGTCGACTATGAATTGTACCTCGTTTTCTGGAAAAGCGTTGGTTACCCATCAGCTTCGAGTCAGTCTCTGAAACCCAATTCGCTAGAGATAGAGAACTAGCGGGAAAAGAAGCTCAGCGGCACTACGCAAGCGAGGAAGGTGTTTGTTAGGGCAAACCGGGTCTTAAAAACTGAATTATAATAACCTGTTCCAAAATAGGGAGATTTACCAATAAATCTTAAAATTTGAACTTATGCACTAATTGGTCCCATTTTTATTCTATTAAACCATTTAGTCCCATTTAATTGTGAAGGACATAATTACCCTCATCTAACCGTAAAACACACACAGGGGCTGGCATGGGCTCTTTCTCCTATCACACAGATACACACATACATTGTGAGGGGCACACACACAGATACACACACAGATACACACATACATTGTGAGGGGCAAACACACACACACACATACACACACACAGATACACACATACATTGTGAGGGCAGACACACACACACAGATACACACAGGGACGCCGTTGCTGACCGATCTAATCTTCCTGAGCCGTCGGTTCGTGCGTCGCCCGCCGAGCCTCTGCGGCAGTCAGAGAATGATGCGCGAGCCGGAGTTGAGGGTAAGAGAGGCGGCGGTGGAGCAGATCGAAGAGAGGCAGAGCGATTGGGCGTACTGGAAGACACAGAAGACACCATTAACGCACACACCTAGCAGCAACCTCAGCATCTCAGCATCTTTATACTCACACAAGCAGATCAAATACATCGGATCGTTGATTCCACCGCCTCGATCCTTCGAGAATGGAAACCGAGGGTACGAATTGATGACCGCTTGATCGAGCCCTCTTATGGAGACCCATTCTGCAACACATCTCTCTCATGGTGACCCATCGCCTCACTCATCTCTCTCATGGAGACCCATTCTGCAACACACACACTAATACACACACACGCAAATCTCTGAGGGTGTGCCACACCGGAATGAAAGTGAGACCAAATCAGTGAACCAAAAATGACAGTTTGTAAATCAATGAAAGGGCACTCTCGTCCACAGAGTAAAACAAAAAAGAAAAAAAAAACAAAAAGGACCAAATCAATACACCAGCAGGACTATTTGGTATAATAGAATAAAAGTGGGACTATTTGGTATAACAGTTTGTAAAATAGGATTTATTGGTAAATTTCCCTCCAAAGTATTAGACACTTTTTAAAAATCAATAATTATAACAATATAAATTTATTACTTTGTCATTCTTTTAAATTTATGACAATTGATGTTATTGAAAAAAATTATAATGTTTTAATTTAAATCAAATAATAGTTTTAGAAATTTAATATTTTTAAAATGTAATAATTATACTGTTAAAAAAAATTAAATTTTCCAAAAAACCCTAATATTTTGAGATAGAGGGAGTAGTTTCCTTTCTTATCCCCACCCCATACCCTTATGATTAATTTTTAGAAAATTTGGTATTTTTTTAAGGTTTTTAGTATTTATGTAAAAAATTTCACGTCCACTTTGTATAAAAGTATATTATGTGGGTATTTGGGAAGTGGATTTTTATGTAGATTTTTTTAGTTGTAGGATATTATTGGATAAAAAAATTTTGATGTTTGGAAAGATAGTTGGGTTTTTTATGGTTAGATGTGATGTTTGTAAGAGAAAAAGTGAAACAATTATGGAGTTAGATGCAATATTTTGTTTGGATTTTTTTTTTTTTTGTTTTGCAAAAACTGTCTTTTAGCGGAAAAAATTTAAAAAAACCCAAAACCAAATCTTGCGTGAGTGAATCAATTAGATTGATAATTATGAATTAAAAGAATTAAATAAGGTTAGAGATTGATCTAAGTAGTTATAGTGTGAGCTGATTTTATCTACTATTGTAGTTGTTTCTTTTATAATGGTATAGATGGATAAATTATTTATCATAAATACATAGTGGGTCTATGGCAAGTGTAGATAATCCATGTTTGTTGAGTTTTTAAACTAAGAGATATCGAAGGATAACTTGTTCATTTTTATGCCAACATACATGTCACATGACTATCAACGTGACATTTTTTTATCCAAAATTAAACGTATGCTGATTTTGAAAGTAAATCGAAAAAAAATTATAGACATTAGACATTAAAATAAAAATAAAAAATACTTTGAGTCAAAATTCAAAATTTTTTAAGAAATTAACTATGAAACCTAAGGGGAATAAAAGTACAATTTCCACTATTATTTTAACCAAACACATTAGAGCTGTTTCCTCTACAAATTTTATTTTTTATTTTTTATTATTCTTTAATAACCAAAAGAAGGAAAATAATCACACTTTATCCAATATTTGTCACTTCTTTCATTTCATTCTGTAAAGTTCAAAGCGCACACTGTTAAAAAAATGATTGATAAATTTAAAAAACAAACAATCCTAGACTTAAATTATAATTACAAACTTATATGTTTGGGATGACTTTTTGACTAATTACGAAAAGATGTGCAAAAAATAAAAAGAAAAGAGAATCTTTGACTTTTTGGTATGGATTGTTGACTTTTTGACTAATTTAGTAACTTTTTGGCTAATTGACTAAAATAGCCTCTTGTCAAACGAGACCTAAGAGATATCAAAGGATAACTTGTTCATTTTTATGCCAACATACATGTCACATAACTATCAACGTGACATTTTTTTATCCAAAATTAAACGTATGCTGATTTTGAAAGTAAATTGAAAAAAAAATTATAAACATTAGACATTAAAATAAAAATAAAAAATACTTTATGAGTCAAAATTCAAAATTTTTTAAGAAATTAACTATGAAACCTAAGGGGAATAAAAGTACAATTTCCACTATTATTTTAACCAAACACATTAGAGCTGTTTCCTCTACAAATTTTATTTTTTATTTTTTATTATTCTTTAATAACCAAAAGAAGGAAAATAATCACACTTTATCCAATATTTGTCACTTCTTTCATTTCATTCTGTAAAGTTCAAAGCGCACACTGTTAAAAAAATGATTGATAAATTTAAAAAACAAACAATCCTAGACTTAAATTATAATTACAACACAAACAGACAATTACACTAATAATTATTTTTTGTCAAAAATTTGTCAAACCTAACATAGGCAAAGTAGTTCATGTGCATAGATGTGGCCACTGTGCATAATTTCCAATTAACAAATAAAAATAGAACATAAAAAAACCAAAAACAAAAGATCATGATGACAACAGACAAATCTTTTACAATAATCATAAAGATTACAAACAACTAATCACACCCCTCCAATACCTATAAATCAAAACAAATAAAAATAAAAATGGAATCTCAAAAAACATAACTAGTAGGTCTCCAACAGAAAAGAATTTGGGGCCTACCTACCAACACTTTCTATTCAGGAAATTGTAAAATTATAAAAAACTAAACACAGAATTAAAATCATTAATACTAAAAAAATTAAAAATAAAAACTACAATTTTTTGATCTTGTCACACAAATGTCGTACATTCATGAGAAACATGGCAGAAAAACATAGGACATGTTTTCATTCCAGTTAATATTTTCAGAATTTTGTTCATTTTTTTTTTTTTTTTTGACACCATCATTGTACAAGAACAACAATTTTTTTCATATAATCAAATCAGGTCCTTTGCCTCACCCTCCTGCTGTTGGTATCACCACCATCGGAAAGTTGGGCCCAAACGCTTCGTGACTTTCCACCTCCGCTGCTACAATCCTCCTCGCAACCTGCCACAGTCTTCAGGAGCTCAGACTGCAGTGATGGGCAGTTTTCTTTAAGATATTCAAACCCGTCAGATCGCATAACAGCTGCAAAACGAAAATTCCAAATAAAGGTTAACCGGATGAGATCTCAAGCAACCATCAAGCCAAAAACAATAATGGGAAGCAGTCCTGTAATCCAGACGCCCCCCACAGATGAGATCCCAAGCAACCATCAAACCAAAAGCAAACTCGATCATTGATTTTGAAAAGAAAAAAAAAATCACAAAAATCACAAAGAAATAGAAAAACCATATCAAATGTATTTGGAACAAAACTGGAGAAAAAAAAAAAAACTTGTGGAGAAGTCCCTTGTATTCTTTTTTCTTTTTTTTTTCTACAGAGACAAAAAAGAACAAAAGCAACACTTGTATTCAACAAATCTATCAATGATGCTTTGATACCATGTGAGATTTACAATAGAAAGAAGGAAAAACAAAAGAATATAGAAGAGAGAAGAGAACGATGCAAGACTAATAGAAGAGAAACCTAAAAATTAGGGCTTTCTCTTTATACACCTTATATGGGACATTGGGAATATTTGCACACCACTCATCCTCTTCGTACACACCTTTTTTTCCATTTTTCTAATTATGATTGTCCTTCAACCAAATTACTTTAAGACAAATGATACACACCTCCAAACCTAGCCGCCATGAGCAACAGATCACCACCACCAGCCCCCTGCCACCACCCTTGAGCCACCATCCTTCGCCCCTCCCCCACCCTTGCAAAATCTTCTTCTTCTTTATGGCAGTGGCGAAGGCGGGGGGGCAACTGGAAGGCGAGGGAAGGTGGCAATTGGGATGGAAGAAGGTGGAGTGGTGGCTGGTTAGGGTTAGGATTTGAACATTGAAGATAAGGGTATTATAGGAGAAGCATGTGGTGTGGAATGAGAAAAAATCAAAAATCAAAATTGGATATGGTGTGAACTCATCAATGGTGTGTACTAAGAGGACGAGTGGTGTGCAAGTAGAATTTCCCACCTTATATTTATATTAATAAAGTCCAAAATACATAAATACATAAGCCACATAACACACAACAGAGAAAATGTGGTTAAAGCATGATTTGTTCAAGAAATAGGTATTCCACCATATCATTGGGAAGGTCCCTCCTGCACAAATCATGAAACAAGAAGCTTTTGGAAACACAATGCACCCAAGTAAACAAGAAATGAGATTAATAAAAAGGTTAAACGAACATCCCACACCCGCAGCCCATGAGCCAGCCTATTATTAGACAGGGCCTGGGCTTATATTTTCGGCAAAAAAAATTCCCGTCGAGATAAGCCCATGGGCAGGCTTAGGCATGTTTTTCAATAGGTGGGTTGGGCTGGAACAAGCCGATGCCAACCCTCACACATGATCAAACACTGGCCTCTGCATAGCTATCCAAGAAACATTCAAGAACCTTTCCTCCCACTCCAATGAAATAAAAAAACCTGTCAATCCAGGATAAAGAGGGGTTCACCTTGACATTGCACCGCCTATATGTGGCAACTATGAGAGGTTAATCCATCATGCTCATTCTCTTCAATAAAATTCAAAAAATCCCTCATGGAAGAAGTAATATGATTGCAACCTCTTCTCTCCACAGGAAATTTGATATTAAAATCACCACTACACGCACACCAAGGTTTCTCCCATCTTGCTTTTGCAACCACTAGCTTCACAGATCCATCTAGCCTCCAAAAACCATCTAGCCTTAATTGCTTCTCTCAGTTATAAGCATATCCATCTACCCTCCGAAAACCCTAGCTTCACAGATCTCCATATACCTCAACCTCTTTCCATTACCGACACCCCCATCTCGCCATCTACATCATCTTTGGAGAGATCAAACATCTTCCACGACACTCGGAAGATTCTCCAATTCGCCTTGCAACACCATTCTAGAGAGGAAGGCAACCACAAATCCAATTTACTTTTATTTTTGCCAACTTTAGTAGGATACTTCTCAAAGCATTAACTCTTCTTGCAAGAATTGACATTGGATATAGTCATGAGTCATGTCCTTCATATATGAGATTAGTAATAAATCAGCTCAACGTAAGGCTGCAAGAGAAAGGGACTAATTTGACCATGTGAAGGCAAAAGATAAAAACATCTCATAAGGGGTGTCATGATGAAGAGTCCTACTTAAAATTAATGCATGATGCTTTTCCAATTACAAAAACCCACAAAGTAAAGAACTTATCCAAATCATGGGAGCAAGGTGAAGACAATATGAGAACCAGACCAATTTACCTGCAAGGTTTTCAGCAGCAAATCTTAGACAAACAGCTTTTAATTCTGTAGCATGAAAACAGTCTGCCAAAGCTAGAGTTCTCGCTGCAGAATTCACGGATATATCCTTGCACAAATGAGATTCACACATCCGTCTTAGTCTTCCCAAATCATACTTATCAGCTGCGGCTAACAACTTTGTTGTTAATGTCTCAGATACAGATGATGAACTAGAAGCTACCAACTCATCTTCCATAAGAGCATCTCTGTATATAAAGTGCAGAATTGCCTGTCACACATCCCCAAAAAAAAAACAATTAGGACAACTGCCCAATAATAATAGAACAAACAATTTCATTATTATTTGAGAAACAAGAAGATATTGACAGCAGTAATGAAGTGCACTATGCCACTAGAAGTTCAAGAAGATGATCCACTGCTATGGAACCAGAAGAAAAATGAGAACGAGAAATGTTCTCACCTTAAAAACAGTGGGTTCCATATCTGTAATTACAATCTCCTGTACATCACCCTCTGACCCATCAAAAAATTCAGATCGGAACACCGGGGATCGAGCAGCCAATACCAACTTATGAGCATGAAATTTTTTCCCTGCCACATTGAAAATAACATCCGAACCATCCATATTTTCCAGCAGTGTGCCAAAATGCGCTCCAATATCAGAATCTGGAACCTGAATCGAATGCAACCCTGCACAGTCTGTTGCAGAAACCACAACTCCAACAGTACAATTGATTTTCAAGCAATCATCTTTAAGATAATCTGAAGTTTCGAGTAACGCTCTTCTAAAAAAACGCTTATATCCCCTACATAATAACAAAATTAGATCAAATGAGCATTTTCAAGGCATAGATAATGGTGAATTCAAAGGAGAAAAATGGAAACTGGAGGCCAATTTTCTTTTTCTTTTTTTGATAAATAGAGGCCAATTTTCTGCTTGTTTAGTCTATTTGTAGTATAAGATAATCAGTCATTCCACACAAACTATTAGCCAATACAAATCACGTAGAGATAGTAATGATGTGAATATTACTGTACTGGTACATTCCGGTATACCTTTTCAGGTTTATCAAAACACAAATTAAATATTTATTAAAAGTATTTATTCTTACTTCCGATCAAAAAATATTTATTTTTACTTAAATGTATATATTACAGCAATTTAAATTTTCAAAATAAGCAAAATGACCATTATACATGACATCTTTTCTTTGTAATCACATACCTGAAATCTCATATGACAAAGGAAAAAATTTTAAAAATTAAAAACAATAAGTGAGGGAAAGAGTTAGACCCCAGGCAGATTTAGGTGTAGACCCTAGACTTTTAGCAGAGTTGCATGGTTCTGCACAGTGTTTTAAAAGGCTCTAGGCGCACCGAGGCAATAAGGTCTCCTATAGTTTAAGCGCGAGGCGAGGAGCAAGTAGTAGGAGAAAAGCAAAATTATAAAATAGGCAAACTTTTCAACATAACAAATATATACAGAATTCCAAAAATCGTAAAGTAAGATTCACAAGCATAGCAGAAAAGAAAATACAGAGAGATAACCTAGCAAAGAAGAATAAAATAAGAAAAGAAGAAGAGAAGAAAAATAAGGAAAGAAAAAATAGAGGCAGACCCATGAAGAGAACTCATCGAAGAAGAAAAGAAGAAAAATAAAGGAAGAAAAAATAAAGGTAGAGAGATAACCCAACCAAGATAACCCATCGCAGAAGAGAAGAAGAGAGAACCACCGGAGCAGAAGAGAGAGAACCACCCAAAGAAAAAACCGAAGTTGTGTCGTCTTCTCACTTTTTGATCGCTTTTTTTCATCTTCTTCACCTAGGATTTTTTTTTAATCACTTTATGCTCTCTTTTAATCATGTTTCGTGATTTTATAATGAAGTATTTTGATTCCCTGTGGTTATACCCACAAAAAAAAAAGCACTTAATCAACAGTTGGAGTAAAAAAATATGTAAAATCCATGAAGCCCGGGCCTCGCATCTCGAAAAAAAGCCCTTGCCTCAGCGCCTAAGTTGTTTGAAGCGCACGGCTGCGCCTTTAAAACACTAATTCTGCATACACGGCATTACCTTTAACTGTTTTTGTTATTTCAAGAGTGAGAGTTGTACTTGAATATATATACATACAAATATGCACCTTCATTTTTCTCAAGTAAAGACCACTTCCGTTATCCTATCTGTTTGGTTCTCTCTCTCTCTCTAACAGTCCTGCCACTCCATTTGATTAGCTTCTCACACCTTCACTCTGTTTCTCTCTAAAACATGTCCAATCCAATGACCTCTTACTCTCCACTTCATTCTCTTCCTCTCTCTTTCTTTTTTTTGATAAATAAATAAATTCTCTTCCTCTCTCTTTCACTCTATCTATAAACAGTAAGTGGGTTTGATCTTTCCCATTCATTTTATTTAGTTTCAGCATACATAACAGCAGCGTTATTAAAGGTGATAGGCGCACCAAGACACCAAGGTCTCCTGGAGCCTAGGCTCAAGGCGCAGGCTTCACCGAAGTGAGGCGCACTTTGCACGGAAAAAAATATATAATTTAATATAAGTAAATAATTTAGGGTTTAACATAAATAAAATGAAATGTTAAACATTTAGACTGTGTTTGGTTATGTGTTCCAAACACATTTCCACCCACTGAATTGAGTGTGGTGTTTACTTTGAACTTTCAAATTATAATTTCACACTCACTTTTGAAAACTTCTTTCCATGCGAGAGAAAATTTGACTAACCCGGCCGTCCTCCCGAACATTCGGCTGGTTGACTGGAACAGTTTTTTTTTTTTTTTTTGGCACCTGTTATTTCTATATTGTAAATAAAAAATATTTTTTGAAATTTTTTAAATTTTTATGAGATTTTAATAAAATTTTGGATTATGTGTTTGATTATGAGTTGTAAGTTTTTAAATCAAATAATTTCTCTAATTTCAAAAACTTAAAACTCCCTCCAAAATTTTTTTCAAAACTCATAACCAAACAAATTTTTCACACTCAAATTATAATTTCAAAACTCACAAACTCAAAATACAACTCTATTCTCAAATCATATTTAGAAAACTCTACTAAACGCTACCTTAATGTTTTTCGGAGATTAAGAATTATGACTAATTTTTCTTCTATCATTGATTTAGTGTTAAATGCCCAATGTATTGGCATCTGTAATAAGAATATGGATCTTCTGTAGCTACACCATATTAAATCAATGGTCAGATTTTAAACAAAACCAATTAAAGCAATAATAAAAAAAAAAAACCCTCAAGACACAAGCCCTAGGCCAGTCAGGCGCCTTGTTGAAGTCGCCTAATGTGAAACATTACAAGGCGTAAATCTTGGGTCTGGACGGGACTTGAGCTTAGGCATACCTTATCGAAGTCGCCTGGCCTAGAACACTATAAGGCGCAAACCTTAGGCCTAGATGAAACTTGGGCCTAGGCACACACCTAGGCACGCATTTAATAACACCTCCTAACAATAACCCAAAAAGAGGCTGATATAGCCAAAAAAATTCCAAAACCGCCGAGAGAGACCAGAATAGTCCGGTATTTTGGACAGAAATAAATAAAACGTTGTGCACCAGCTCTACTTAAATCGACAAACTATTTTGTACAAAGTACTCCATATGTACCTATAAATTTATCTCAACATATAAAACCCCTTTTGCACTATAATCTTGGTATCCCCATCTCTAACAACCAAAACAAACTATTCATTTTAAATACCTAATAGGTGCTTGGGTTCTCTCAACATATCAATCTTTCAGACTAGTCAAATTTCCAATACATTAGCACAGTCCAAAACCTTGGCAATTACATTGACATATAACAAATTAAGATAAAACATTTGCTTTGCCATCTAAGATATTGAACACTTTGAAGTATCCATGTGACCAAAAGTCCTTACTAACATGCACAGATAAAAATATATAACTACAAGCTAAATCAAGTCAAAATGGCCAGTCAACTGTACCAGTGTAAAAACCCCTTCTAAATTCGTCTCAGAGCTTCCAAATCCTCACAAGATATGTCCAAATTCACAATGTCATCACACCAAATTGCACCAATTATGTTATATTAAGCAAAGCCCAAATCGAATTAACATTCACAAAGCTAAATTAAGCAAAACCCAAATGGAATTAGCTTTGTATACATCATAAAAACCATACCACATACTGCCTCGGTACTTCAAGGTATACGGACCGCTCTCCAAAGACCGATCAAAATGGCTATGAACTTTATGCTTCCCCTTCCCACTCTGATCAAGCAAAGTCAGCTCGAACAACGCTCTCACATCCGTGCCTTCGCTGGCCAAAGCAATGAAAACCGAGACGTAGGTCGAATTGTCCTCTGGATTCTTCCCATCTGGGTAGAAATATATAGCCCACTGAAACCCTCCTACGGTGAAATTATCGCTCGCGATGTGTTTCCCAATACCCATACCTTTTGCCAACGAGTAGCCCTGGATTACGAACCGGTGTGAGCCATTGACGGTCTCGGTGACCGATCGAGAGCTCGTCGGAGAGATTAGGAGGTTCTTCTCCAGCGGTGTGGTCTCAGACATTGAATCAGAGTTCTGGGAATGTGGAGTTCATGGAAGGTCTGCGTGTGAAATTGGAGAGTTGAGAGGGTGGATAAGAGATTGAAATCGAAGAGTTTTCGACCAATTGAGAGAGAGAGAGAGCTAGAGAGAGAGAGAGATTAGGGTTTGGGTGGGAAATTGTTGAATTAAAGTGTGTGTGTGTGTGTGTGTGTTTTTTTTTTTTTTTTTTTTTTTAATATAACCAATCCCTACCTAGGTAACCTGTGCAAGCTATAACCTCATGTAACACCCTCAAAATAATACATAAAATCCATCACTTTAGACATGCATTGATATAAAAGAAATCAACCATTTCTATTCATCAGAGTAATTCTTACAACTG